GATTACGCAGGGCAGTCTGGACAACGACTTAGCTCGCGATTAATGGAGTGCAGTAATGAGAGGCGACCCGCTGTCTCAGGTCGCCACCCATAGCCCGGAGGAAGGCCATGAAGTTAACTTCCTAAATGCGCGGATACTGGCGCGAGGGAATAATAAGACTCTTCAGCTTCATCAACATACATGCTGACATCACCCCCTCCTCGCTATCACGCCCTTTCTTCACGTGGCCAAGAAATACGGCCTAGTTCCCAGCCAAGGACGCATGCCGTGACGCCGCCGTGAAACAACGTGGACTCCGCCTCATCATAAGTACAACCTCCTCCCTCCTACCCGCCCCATTTCTTTTGGCTGAACTACAAAAGCTGTCTGATTGTTTCTGCATGCTCATTGTCTCTGAAGTTGACCCCTTGTACGAAGCCGAAGGCTCAGACAGATACCACTGCTGTCCTACCGATCGTCTCTGCATGAAGAACCTGGTGCTCGCATATTCGATTCCATTCCTGTAGATGGTTCTCTTAAAAGTAAAACACGAAAACCCGATTCCGATAAACAAGACATATCAAAGACGGAGAAGGTTTAAGAGTAGGAATTGACTATGCTAGGGCCGCCATATCTTTGCCCATTAAAATGAACTTCTTTCTGTTAACTTTGTCTTGGCAAGTAAATGGAAAATTTAGGGAAGCTAACCGGTTCAATCTCTAGAAAGAAGTTGACCGTGGAGAAGATATCACTGGAGCTAAATATTATTAAATTTTATACAGCGGACATATCGGAAGGTCGAGCAGTTACGGTTTAACCTAATGAGGAGATTAATGATTACCTGCGATGTTTCCACTCTGACAAACGGGAATAAGTATGAGCGAGTTTTCAAATGAAGAAGTGGGAGGCAGTGTTTTTGTACTCGTTTCTCAAGAAACAAGACTTACGTCAAACAATAAAAGTAGAAAGAGTTGGAGATGAGGTATTATTTGCAGAATAATGAGTAGTGTAGCTAACCGCTAAGGTGTGTATTGCAAAAAGTTTCGTTTTTTTCCTCTCTGCGACAAAGCGTATACGGTTCAGCAAAACCCCGTTTTTTTCAGACAGTCATGCACAAGTCTCGTGTTTGATATCACAGGAAAGTATTCGTAGACAGAATTGTGGACCTAATCTTTTCCAGTTTTTGGAAAGGCAAGAGTTTCCTCTGAATCCTAGGCCTCCTCTGACGTGCATGAGTAAGTAAAACACGCAACTAATCGGAAATATGCATAAACAGGGAAAAGATACTATTTGTCGGAAACGCGAATATACAAACAGTGCATGTCCTGACTTTGATATGTTTAAATAAAGACGGTACAAAAGAGGTGAATTTTTTATGCAAACCCTTCAAAATAAATTTAATGAAACACGAATACCAGTAGCTACATGCATTTAAAAAGCACAACAAAATAATATTATGCTTGAAATTTAAAGAATCCGAGAGTATGAAATAACTCACCCCAGTCTCACGGCATTTCGGCTGAAAGAAAATAATTTGTGATAATTACGAGTCTGCACAGAATATCACCCACAAGACGTAGAGGTATGGACTGTATGTTATAAAATATTGACTGCGTAATGCGTGTAGCATATAATCCAGACTTTAAAAGACTATTTAGCTTCTCTGTATATAACCGTTTAGAGTGACATTCTACTTTCATGCCTATAAGACATCTGGAGAAGCTAGTTGGTCTCCAAACTCTATTTTGGAAAGCTGTCAACGAAAATATACTTTTAATTAGTGTTGACGAACCAAAAGCAACCACGTTTGGAGAAGCCACGTGGTTAACACTAGATTAGCGGAGCTTTTGATAGATACAACAATAAGTTGCATTTTTCCAGCTAGTGTCAAGAAAATTGAGAGCTCATTGAGGGTGACGTCCACCTCTCTCATCTGACCGAAGGACATAAGAAGAACGTTCTTCTTTCCATTGGTACATTGAATTCCTAACTAGTCGGATACCAAAGTAACATGTAAAGTTCGTACTTTGTCCAACTATCAGGATATCATGGGAACGTCATTTATCGTAGACTTAGAAACGTGATCATGTCGATCAGGATAAAAAGTGACCAGTGTTTCGGGGAATGGACTTGCTCGATTAGAATTGTTTGAAATGCATTAACCTGCACTATTTCGAAACTGCAGACATTCAAGGAACAAGCAAAAAGTATTTTTTGGATAACGAAGCTTTCAGTTAGGGGAATAAATAAAACAACAGAAAATGATCATTTATACTACTCACTTCATCGTGAAAGCTACTAGCGCGCAAAGGACTACAATGGCATCGAGAATATTCCACGGATCTCGGCAGTAGGCTCCTGGATGAAACACGACACCCAAGTCGATTATCTGCGTCAAAAGAAAAGATTATATTGAGAAAATGGTACATCTCAGGGTGCTTGAAAAGTTTTCGTTCATGCTCTTTAAACTTATTTTGAGATATCTCATTAATAATCTAACTATAGAGCTAATGAACTCATTATTTGATTCTATTTAGACAGAAGGGTTCTCAAGAACTTTTGAAGCATACAGTCAATTGAACATACACAAGACAAATGTACCATTCATGTAAATATTATCATTCGAAGCGCTCTAACCTATAGATTGGAAAAACGGGTATTCAGTGCAGCCCCAGAAATCTGTTATGGGTACTTCTTGGAAGCTAGTCATTTCCATTCATATAAGTCTAGGATGATACTTCTTTCCACGAACAATATACTGTCAGATGTGCACAGGCAGTTGAAGCCTCCGCTAAAGCGAGGTTTTCACTGCGTTCGAAAATTACATGGATGCAGTCGTCAGTTAAATCAGTCTAACGAAAGCCGACCTATTAACAGCTAATATCCTACATATTGTGGTAAACTTCAGTAAAATTTGATAAGAAATTTAAAAAAATAACTTCTTGGCTATTTCCATTACCGTGTATTGTCTTCCTTGACATATGTTGCATTCTTCAACTTATAATTTAACTGCGCAACTCCGAGTAACTATTTACACTAATAAATACAGCCCTAAAGAGACCTGCGGTGATCCCTATCACCCCGGGCAATGAGGTGAATAAGTTCTCTTGCGGATATGTTGGCAGTTGATTGCCATAACTTGTTTCAGTCTTTTCGACGTGTAAACTTGAACAGTGCTCTGTTTTTCTAGATGACTCGATCCAGCTGTGTAGTATAAAGTAGAAAATGCCGCATCGGGGACTGGAGTTTTCCTATTATGCAGATATGCGTACGATAATATAGGCACGTAGCTTAGTTGCTTAACTGTAGTATTGAACTCATTCAGCCGTTTGCAAGCATTGGCAAAAATGGCGAAAATTACAGAAGATTCGTCTAAGTTTACGAATATTATACATGGGTTGCTTACTCTGGGCGTTGATATTCTGTCTTTAGTGCTTATTACATACTGATGCGTCATTTACCGTTTTAGTTTCACTCAACCTTAATTGCTTTTGTCTGACGTACAGAATACGGCAACCAAATAAAACCGATACGCTTTACTCCTTTCACTGCGTATGCAATTTAACAGCCCACGAAATCCGTACAGGGCAATGCTTATACTAAACGAGTTAGTTATCCAGATAAAACACGAAAATAATGTTAAGAGACAACAGAAACAACCTCCACTATGAATGAGGAAAATGTATACGGCCATTTGTCAATCGAATTAAACTGACCTTGAGGACCATCTCAACAGTAAAGACACCAGTAAATGCGTAGTCAAAGTGTTCCAGAATCTTGTTTCGGGTTGAGTTTTCTGCCACTGGATCCTCAGTTGCCAGAGCAATGCTACTTGCGCAGATTACAATCATAATGAAGAGGTCAAAGTAGCGTAAGTTGACAACGAAGTGGCAAAAACGCCGAATGCTACAAGAAGAAAGGTGAAGGGAGTAATTTCTCTGGTTCGGTACTGATCAATATACATATTTTAAATACAATAAAAGATCATTCGAAATGAACTTTTGTAGAGTCCGTTATCTAGACATCGGTTTATGCAAGTAAACATTTTGTCTGCTCTGCTCGAGAGTGCTCCACGTTTCACGGGATAAAGAGCAATTCTACCCATTCATTAGCCTGCATTTTACAGGGAGCTTTCAGCATAACTGAACTCGAACATTCATTGAAACACATACCTGATATATTAATTTACAACCTCTTTCACGACCTTTTATCACCTTGGGTCATTATTATTTCTGAAAATATTTACCCACTTTCCCATGAGTTGCTAAAACTTTATAATCATAAAGCGTTGTTCTAATGGTTGTAAGTTAACACTTCGCAAAATATGTTGCCTAAAAAGAGGAAAAATGGTCATCTTATCCTCGTTGGAAGTCATTACTGAAGGCTAATACAATTTCGAAAGCATGTCCTCTCAATGTTCTACCAGAAAAAAAGACGCCTAACGCTTTATTCACTTGAGCTGTTTAATAACCACGACATATTTTTATGTGGGTTACGCTTCTATTAATTAAATGCTCAAACTAATGCTGAAACCGAAAGCTGTCAAATAACACCATCACAGTTTAATTAGATACGCAGTATAGTATGAAGTCGGCAAACATTTTCAAACGTTTGCAGGTATTAGAGAGTGTTAAGGTCTTTTCTTCGCCTACAGTATTTGTGAGGACTCGCTGTGATATAGGACACGTAGAGGAGGGTGTAGGCTCCTTTATCAAGCAATAAAAATCAGCGTCTGTTATTCCCGGATGACTTAAAATAGCTCTGATATCACCCGACAGACCACAAACCATAGTTTCAGTGGTGGGAAGTTTGACTCGAAAATTCAGAAACTAAGGGCTCTGGTTAGGATCTGGGTCTGGCGCCTGAGATTGGAAGTAACACCGGCGAGCTGATTACAGCGAATAAGTTTTAGCTTGCCAAACTATCTCCTCATATTTGTCGATGTCACTGACCCTTCCTCCACCCAACAAATGGACTCTTAAGTCAGGGTTTTATTCATATACAGTAATTCATATTTTCGTCTTATAGTCAGGATTGTGTAAAGACGGAAATACCTTACTTACACTTTTGGTCCTATACACTCCTTAAGGTACCTACTAGTACTACAATTCCTGTTTCTATAAAACTTGCCCGGAGGCCTGTCTATAATTAAATGTTTGTGAGGCTGGTTTCTTTAACCCTAGAAAGTAGATTTGAAAATTAAATTTCTATAACATTATAAGTCTTAACTGACTCCAGTTTAATAAGCTCTGGTAGGACTTTATTATAGTCCCTTCCCCCTATAAATGTTGCTTGTTTTCGTTGACGATTTTATTTCTGTAAATATTCCCACCCAAAGTACCGATCTCGCCAACTGGCACAGGCTAACATAGTCCACAGTGGCGAGTCAGCAGCGTAAACACATAATCATTGATTTTCTTTACGTTCAAATTTTAGTTGTTGTACACACGCCACAAGTAGCCACCCCATTTATTGCTGTTTTTCCATCTCTGAAGATGGACTCCTACAGGAGCCCGAAAGCTCAGAATAGAGTACAAATCGTTCCGGTGTTTGATAATATGTCTTCTTTACCGACCTATTCTGAAACTGGCCTCCTTCGGCATCGGTAGCAAGCCTGTGAACTTAATATCTTCCTATTTAGATGCTTGCACACAACGAGTAAAAATTTCCAATGTTATCTCCAACCCCACGC